AAATGGATCAAAGACCTGAATGTAAGTCATGAAACCATAAAACTCTTAGAAAAAAACATAGGCAAGAATCTCTTGGACATAAACATGAGCAACCTCTTCATGAACATATCTCCCCAGGCAAGGGAAACAAAAGCAAAAATGAACAAGTGGGACTATATCAAGCTGAAAAGCTTCTGTACAGCAAAGGATACTATCAATAGAACAAAAAGGTATCTACAGTATGGGAGAATATATTCATAAATGACAGATCCAGTAAAGGGTTGACATCCAAAATATATAAAGAGCTCATGCACCTCAACAAACAAACAAGCAAATAATCCAATTAAGAAATGGGCAGAGGAGCTGAACAGACAGTTCTCCAAGGAAGAAATTCAAATGACCAACAGACACATGAAAAGATACTCCACATCACTAGTCATCAGAGAAATGCAAATTAAAACCACAATGAGATATCACCTCACACCAGTTAGGATTGCCACCATCCAAAAGACAAACAGCAACAAATGTTGGCGAGGTTGTGGAGAAAGGGGAACCCTCCTACACTGCTGGTGGGAATGTAAACTAGTTCAACCATTGTGGAAAGCAGTATGGAGTTTCCTGAAAAAGTTCAAAATAGAAATACCATTTGACCCAGGAATCCTACTTCTAGGAATATACCCTAAGAATACAGCAGCCCCGTTTGAAAAAGACAGATGCACACCTGTGTTTATCACAGCACGATTTACAATAGCCAAGAAATGGAAGCAACCGAAGTGTCCATCAGTAGATGAGTGGATAAAGAAGGTGTGGTACATATACACAATGGAATATTATTCAGCCATAAGAAGAAAACAAATCCTGCCATTTGCAACCACGTGGATGGAGTGACAGGGTATTATGCTCAGTGAAATAAGCCAGGCGGAGAAAGACAAGTACCAAATGATTTCACTCATATGTGGAGTATAAGAACAAAGAAAAAACTGAAGGAACAAAACAGCAGTATAATCATAGAACCCAAGAATGGACTAACAGTTACCAAAGGGTAAGGGACTGGGAAAGATGGGTAGGAAGGGAAGGAAAAGGTGGGGGGAAAAAGTAAGGGGGCATTACCAGTAGCTTGTATAATGTGTGGGGAGGCACGGCGAGGACTGTGCAACTCAGAGAAGACAAGTAGTAAATCTACAGCATCTTACTACGTTGATGGACAGTGACCGTAATGGGGTTTGTGGGGCGGACTTGGTGAAGGGGGGAATCTAGTAAACATAATGTTCCTCAGGTATTTGTAGATTAATGGTACCAAAAAAAAATATGTAAGAGTAGCAAATTAAAGTTTGCCATACCTTCAGCTGTCCTCTCTTCTGCTTTGAGTGTTGTTATTTTTAAATAAGCACTTTATCAGTTTGATAGGGGAAAATACCTTATTTGGATTTACATTTTTATTTTTAATGAGTGTAAGTTTTAAATGTTATATTAAGTACATCAATTTTGTTTTTTGAGAGTATTCTGTTCATGTAGTCTAGACCTGAATTGTTCAGTATGGTAGCTACTAGTTTCCTGTGGCTGTTGAACACTTACACTGAAACTACTTTGAATTGACATATACCGTAAGTTTAAAATATACACTGTTTTGAACTCTTATTAAGAAAAAAAAATTAAATATCTCAATAATTTTTTAGTATTGGTTATGTTTTGAAATGGTGTTTTGGATATATTGGTTAAATGAAATATATTATTTAAACTAATTTTACCTGTTTCTTTTTGTTTAATGTGACTACTAGAAAGTTTACATTTACATATGTGGTAAGCATTATACTTCTTTCTGTTGGACAGTGCTGATTTACACAGTAATCTAATCATTAGGTGAGTAGGACTTGAATTAGGGTAGTATTTATAGAATAGAGGAGGGATTTTAAGAAATTATGCAGTATGCATATATATATATATATATATATATGTAATCTCTTACATTAAAGGATATTTTACAGCTTTTGTGTGGTTTCATCATGGCTTTGTCTTCAGTAGTAAGCCTTTTTAGTGCAAGGACAACATCACTACTTTGAAATTCCCTGCATCTTGTCTTTTGGGTATATAGGAGCTTTATTGAAGAAACAGAAATTAATAGGACATCAAACCATTTTATAAACTCAAAGTTTGTATTATTTTAATGCAGATTTAGTGATTCCTAGAGTTCTTACACCCTTTATTTTAATACTATAATATCACCAGCTAGGCAGATCACTTGTATGCTTTTTAAAAGGTACAAGAGAAAGGGAAAACTAACATCTAGTCTTACATATACCATGCTCTGGGGTGATCATTTTTATATCTTTCTTCATTTAGTCCTCATAGTAACCTAGGAGAAAAAAATCAGCCACCACTTTACAGATTAGGAAACGAAGAGTGAATAATTTTTCCAAAGTTATGTTACCAATTCAGGTATGTTCAACCTCAAAGCCAGCACTTTTTCCACTGTAGTATACTATCTCAATTTAAAGTTAGTGGACAATTTTAAGTGATTTTAAGTTAGTTTGATATTGTAGTTGACACGAAGTAAGCAAAGAATACTTTTAGATGAAATGTATAATAATAAATGCTTATAGTTTCTGATATGTGTATTATGTATATTATGTATTCCATGTTCAGCATATGAAAGGACATTTAGAAATACTTCCCAAAATGTAAGAGGAGTTAATAAAAAGGTTTGTTTTTCAACTTATCTTCTTGGTGTTTCGTGATTCTAGAAATCACACTATAGTTCATGGATAGAAATTAAATTGTATATAGTTTTAATGTTTCCTTAATTTTGTTTTTCAGATAAAATCAAAGACAAAATTAAAGAGAGAGATAAAGAAAAAGAGAGAGAGAAAAAGAAGCATAATGTAATGAGTGAGATTAAGAAAGAAAATGGAGAAGTAAAGATTTTGCTGAAAAGTAAGTGTATATTCAGTGATTTTAGTTTTACTGTATAATGCTGTTCAGTATACTTATTGGCTTAGTGATTAAAATAAGTGTTACTTGGTGTTGCATTTTGCTGAGAATAAACATTGTCAGAATAAAAAAGTAAATATAGTGGAGAGTTCTAGTAGTATAGTAACGTGTCTTTAGTATAATTTTTAGTGAGTTATTAAAAAGTAGTAAAGGTTAACCTTCATTAAAGTGTCAGGTTCCTTAAACTGTTTTAAAATAGATTATCTAATTCTGTGTTTGCATTCCTAGTCTTTATTTGTATTTAGGTAATCTAAAAAGGCTTATGTGATTTTTAGCATGATAGGGATGGTGGAGGACATGATGGTAGAAATACTTCACAGTAATCACCACATCACAGTCTGGGATTTAGAGGAGATTTTTACTGTGAGCTAACTTAGAAGGTATACCATTTTACTGTATATTTCTTTCATGCTAAAGAATATCCCCTTTTTATCTCCTGTTTTTTTTCCCTCTATTGTTAGAAGTATTTTCAGAAGCTGTTTGTACATGGAGGTGGATGGTTGAGCAATAAATAATAGAGATCCTATTGGTAAATATGAACTTAAAGAGAGAATTTGTGGTACAACAGAAGTTAAGGACAGTCTTAAATTCAGATAGCAAGGTAAAAAGACTCAGTGGCATTTGGTTGCTAGACAGCTAGCAAATTCATTAGCTATCCTGTCAAGTTGATAATTTGTGGATCAGAAGATCTAGATCTTGATTAATTTCATGTTGAATTTATGTGTTGAGAAGACTTTCTATCTGCATAAGGGAGAAAAGTATATAGCATTGCATGTACAGTGAAATGACTGGTTAATTAGTATTACTTAAGGTAATCAGTATTAGATTCTATCATTTCATTCTTTGTCATGTTTCCAAATGTTCTGTGGTAGCACTTTATTTAATTTCAAGCTCTATTTTCTTCTTGTCAAAACTTTATTTCCTATAAAATTCTTTGAACTTTGAATAAACATGTTAGAGCTTAAATTGATGCCTATTTAGTTCATGTTCATGGTCTTTCTGTTTTTTTGTTTTGTTTTGTTTTGTTTTTGGCCAGTGTTTTATCTGTGTTGTCTAGATTGTAAACCTTTGAGCAGGATTCAAATCTAACCATACGAATGCTCTACTGCAACTAATGATTGATGCTTGTTATGTTAACTTTACCCTACTGGTTTAGTCAAATTGTCATTTTTTATGGGTTAGTCAGATAGTCATTTTCTTACCCTTTGAAGTGTACAGTGATGTAAATTTCTGTCACTCAGTTGAATGTTAGATTCCAAACTTACCATTAATGTGAAATAATGTGACTCTACAGATGACATATGGAAATAAAATTTACAATAGCCTAAGAAATGGAGATTTTCTAGTAATATGCAATTATAACCTTGACTCTGAAGAAGAAAAATTTAGGAGATATTTTGTACTGTGTTAACCCAAAACCTAGTGATGATAAAAAGGAAAAAATGGATAGATTCGGAAATGAATTGGTGGCCTCTGGGATGACCATGGTAAAATGTATTTACTGTGAAATGGAGGCAAATAATAATTTAATTACTGCCTTCCAGGGTTGTGAAGATAAATGAGGTAAAGTGTAGGAGAAGTACCTGTACCTACAGTGTCTGGCCCATAGATATTAAATAAGGGGGTATTGTAAACTTGTGTAAGAGATTAATTCCTACGATATAAAAACAAAACTATCTCCTGTCCTCAATGAGTAGTAAATAGATAATTAAGTGAATAATAAAAACATGATTTATTTGGGAAATAGTGCCTGTCCCATTGTAAGCACTGAGTAACTGTTACTGTTATTGTCCAGCAAAAAAGTTTGCTCTGCTCTTGATCAGGGAAAGACATCCTTTGTTATTGTTGCCCTGGAGCAGGAACCAGAATCAATTTGGTGGGGGGCAGTATACTGTTATTTGCTAATGTGTGCCCCCTTTTATGGCCTTCAAGTTTTATTCTTTCCTTAAAATTTTCTTCTGATAATGTTGAAGTTCATTTAGCTTCACAGGCCATTGATTGATTGATGATGGCTCTTGAACATCTAAAAATAGATGCAAATTCTTACTCCACACCAATCACTTTTCCTCTAGGTTTTCATTAAACACTACATCAAATTGAATATGATTAGAGAGAGATACACAATTATATACATGCTAAAAAAGTTCTTATTAATGCAGAAATCTTGTAAATGTTTTTCACTGATAAGCTAATTTGCTTTATTTGAAATTAAAAAGGAAAAAATCTGAACTTCTTTAACTTGTTATTTTATATCTGATGTCTACCAACTACTTTTTCTGAACAAACTTATATGTTCCAGCAATTTTTATGTTTATTGATGAGTTGTAAGAACATAGATTTTATGATCGTAGTATTTCTGAGAGTAAAATTTATCATTAGAGCTTATCAAAGAAACTTGGTGGTGAGCAGGTAGAATGGGGCTTAATGTCCAAGAACCAAATCAGTGTCCAGGGTTATTGATAGTGTGCTAAAGGTCACAGGTAGATAATTCAGAGCAGAGTGTGTGAAAATACTGCACTGTGAAAGAAGCAAAGTTGTTCTCCAAATACCAAAGGTTGAAAATAGCTAAGCCAGTTACTTCTTTTTTTCTATATATGTTAATGGAGTTATTTATACATTAATTTCCATATTAGATATGAAATCAGATCCAATTTTTCTGGACAACTTCAATTTTTTCCTTTATTCACACAGAAGGTATGCTAAGGTTAGTGATGGAAATTAATGTGTACAACACAGCGATTCAACATTTACCCGTAGTATTAAATCCTCACCCCTACTAGTACAGTTACTATCTGTTAATGTACGAAGATGTTACAGAATCATTGCCTGTATTCTTACTGTTATACTACCTACCATTCCTATGACCAACTTATATTATGATTGAGAATTCTTTGGCCCTTTTATTCCCCTCACCAACCCCTCCCCCATGGTAACCACCAGTCACTTCTCAGTGTCTATGAATCTACTATTTTGTTCATTGTGTTTTGTTTTGTTTTTCCACAAATAAGTGAAGTCATATGGTATTTGTCATTCTCCACCTAGCTTATTTCACTTAGCATACTAACCTCTAGATCTACCCATGTTGTTGCAAATGGCAGGCTTCTTTTTTAATGGCTAAATAATATTCCATTTTGTATATATAGCACATCTTCAAAATTTGTGATTTTTTTTAAAGGTTGATTTTTTAAAAATAGCCATTAACAGCACATGCTGTTTTTGTATCTGTTTCTGTTAGTGGCTTTTTCTTTCTCCATGTGAGTGTCTCTTTCTCTTTGGCTGTATAAGTATATCTCTGTGTCTGATTTTCTCTCTGGCTGTCTTTGCATGTGTGTGTGTGTGTCAGGGGTCCCCTGTGTGTATATATGTCTGTGGATCTGTGGAGAGAGGACCTCCTATCAACCTTATACTTTTATATTTTTTGAGGGTCCAAATTACTTAGAACTGCAGTTCTGTTCTTTTTGCTGTGGGTGACTATAAGAATCCTTTAAAAAATGGACAGGTCTGATTTACTGGGCTTTGTTCAAAGAATGGTAGATTTAGAGTAATTACCTTTTCACGTAATGGTTTTAGTTCCTTAAAGTATTTAGAAGTTTCCTACATAGATGTACTGCATTTCATATGTCATGAGTGGGGGATTATGTAGAACTTAAAAAAATTTGTTTAGTGAATGCTAATGCCTTGGCTTGGTTTAAATATAAAGAATGGGTTTTACCTATGTCGCACTTTATGATTTGCTAGTAGGTCTCACAAGACTCAACATATAGTTGTACTCACAGCTATGATTTATGTGAAGGATACAAAGTAAAATCAGTAAAGAGAAAAATGCAAACTAATAAAACATTATTTAATGTTTAATTACATGGAGTGATACCTGGAGGAAACCAGGCACAAGCATCCATGAGTCCCTAGTAGAGAGTCACACAGGATGCGCTTAGTTCTTCCAGCAGTGACTTGTGACAATACATGTGAAATGTCTCCCAGGGAAGCTTCAGAGACTCATTGCTTAGGGTTTCTATGGGGGTTGGTAACATAGGCACCTTCTGTCTAGCATGTATCAAAATTCCAGATTCCCAGAAGGAAATCAGGTGTACACTATAAACCATATTGTTTGCATAAACAGTTTAGGCACAGTGAGCCACACTTACTAGAGAATGGTGGGAGCAAAAATGCAAGTTCTTAGACGCTAGCCAAGGGCTAACATTGCAATCAGCATCTCAAAGGAAAGCAGTCTTAGGCATGTTTATGTTAAAATGCACACTGTGCTTGCTCCAGTGTTTAATTAGAGTGCTTTGTCATGGAAATTTAATTCCTGAATATTCAGTATGAGAATCTCTTAACGAATTTCTTACTAGTTTGTATTTTTCAGTTTCTAGCTATTATACTACTACTACTTTCATCTATTGTCATGAGAAGGAAATAGACTGTTGCACTTCTTTTATTTCAAAGTAACATGTATTCTAATGACTGGATATTTTCTTAATTTTTTTAAAATGTCAGGCTTAAATGTAATAGGATAGTAAGCTTATATTTTCATTCAAATGAAATTCTGTTTATTTTGGCAAACCATTTAATTTGTGAAATTTTTAATGTGTTTTCAGTTTAGTTATTCATTACACATAGGCCCTTTAAAGTTCTGTTCTTTAACTCACTAGTGTCTTTCCTGGACTCATCAGGATTTTGCTAAAATTTATAGACCCTTTTATCATTCATTTTAAGACTGTTTTTTTTTCATTATTTCTTTTATTCTTAAGATATTAACCTGAATCTGATGTTTTGGTAATCCATACCTACGTAGCAAGTATGAATTTGTTGACATATTTCTTAACTACTTACATACAGACTTTTTAGAGAATTAATAACACTTTGCTTTTTATCATTTACCAATCTTTGTAATACCAACAGATACTTTATTTTGCTTTTCATGATATCAGTTTGGTCTTCATTGCATACTGATGAATTTCTAGAAGTGATACTTTATTAACATTTAACTTCCCTTTTCAAGAATTGCTATTAACTTGAGAGAATTTTTGTGGTGGTTGTTTCCAGGTTAGGATTTAGTGTTATTCATATGGTGGAAAACTTTGACTGAAAGGGAGACAAAAGAAAAAACCCTGTAAACCTGAGGTAGTCTGTTGGATAGAAAAATCTTTCATTCATAGATTCAGTAATGTTCATTTATAGCAATTTATGAGATGCCATGAGGAATACAGTGGTTGGGGGGAAAATATCATTTCACTCTGAATTCATATAGAAGTTGTTTCACTCATATGTCCTGAAGGACTAGGGAAAAAACAAACAAGTAAATCACACATATTTGTATATGTTGCTTATATTATAATTTTATATGAATTGATGTGATTTCAGTTCCAACTAGAGAGATGAGGGAAAGCAAAATGAAGGAAATGACATAGAACTGTCTTTAAAAGATGGCTAAGAGTCAACCACAGTCAATTTCAGCTGAAAACACAACAACTGAACTTATTGATAGACTGGATTTGAGAGTAGGAAATAAAGTTGAAGTGGAAGCTTTGTGTGATTGGGAACCAAGTTTAAAAAAAGAAAAATTCAGAGCAGCACTTGATATGTTATGTTTTTGGTATTGGAGTTATATCCTAAAAAAAGTTTGAGCAAGCAGAGGGCCTGTAAAACAGAAAATAAGAGAGTTGTGATAATGATAACTAAGTTCATGGTTTATCAGTGTTTTGGAGGAAACCCAGTTGTGTTTTTTTTGGTATCATTAATCTACAATTACATGAGGAACATTATGATTACTAGACTCCCCCTTTCACAAGTCCCTCCCACATACCCCATAAATCAATGTCCATCAGCGTAGTGAGATGCTGTAAAATCACTACTTGTCTTCACTGTGTTGCATAGCCCTCCCCGTGCCCTCCCCACAGTATACATGCTAATCGTAAGGCCCCCCTTCTCCCTCCTTCCCACTCATCCTCCCCAGTCCCTTTCCCTTTGGTAACTGTTGGTCCATTCTTGGGTTCTGTGATTCTGCTGCTGTTTTGTTCCTTCAGTTTTTCTTTGTTCTTATACTCCACATATGAGTGAAATCATTTGGTACTTGTCTTTCTCCGCCTGGCTTATTTCACTGAGCATAATACCCTGTCACTCCATCCACGTGGTTGCAAATGGCAGGATTTGTTTTCTTCTTATGGCTGAATAATATTCCATTGTGTATATGTACCACACCTTCTTTATCCACTCATCTACTGATGGACACTTCGGTTGCTTCCATTTCTTGGCTATTGTAAATCGTGCTGTGATAAACACAGGTGTGCATCTGTCTTTTTCAAACGGTGCTGCTGTATTCTTAGGGTATATTCCTAGAAGTAGGATTCCTGGGTCAAATGGTATTTCTATTTTGAACTTTTTCAGGAAACTCCATACTGCTTTCCACAATGGTTGAACTAGTTTACATTCCCACCAGCAGTGTAGGAGGGTTCCCCTTTCTCCACAACCTCGCCAACATTTGTTGCTGTTTGTCTTTTGGATGGTGGCAATCCTAACTGGTGTGAGGTGATATCTCATTGTGGTTTTAATTTGCATTTCTCTGATGACTAGTGATGTGGAGTATCTTTTCATGTGTCTGTTGGTCATTTGAATTTCTTCCTTGGAGAACTGTCTGTTCAGCTCCTCTGCCCATTTCTTAATTGGATTATTTGCTTGTTTGTTTGTTGAGGTGCATGAGCTCTTTATATATTTTGGATGTCAACCCTTTACTGGATCTGTCATTTATGAATATATTCTCCCATACTGTAGATACCTTTTTGTTCTATTGATAGTATCCTTTGCTGTACAGAAGCTTTTCAGCTTGATATAGTCCCACTTGTTCATTTTTGCTTTTGTTTCCCTTGCCTGGGGAGATATGTTCATGAAGAGGTTGCTCATGTTTATGTCCAAGAGATTCTTGCCTATGTTTTTTTCTAAGAGTTTTATGGTTTCATGACTTACATTCAGGTCTTTGATCCATTTTGAATTTACTTTTGTATATGGGGTTAGACAATGATCCAGTTTCATTCTCTTACATGTAGCTGTCCAGTTTTGAAAACACCAGTTGTTGAAGAGGCTGTCATTTCCCCATTGTATGTCCATGGCTCCTTCATCGTATATTAATTGACCTTACATGTTTGGGTTAATATCTGGACTCTCTATACTGTTCCACTGGTCTGTGGGTCCATTCTTGTGCCAGTACCAAATTGTCTTCATTACTGTGACTTTGTACTAGAGCTTGAAGTTGGGAAGCGAGATCCCTCCCACTTTGTTCTTACTTCTCAGGATTGCTTTGGCTACTCAGGGTCTTTGGTGGTTCCATATGAATTTTTAAACTATTTGTTCCAGTTCGTTGAAGAATGTTGTTGGTAATTTGATAAGGAAACCCAGTTTTTATAAAGAGACTGAAAAGATTTTAAAATAATGAAAAAAAAAAGGGAAAGAAATTGTTCAAAAGTGAGTACTAGGCAGGGCAAGGGAGAGGAAATGCCTTTGCCAGAAGTAGAAGAAGGCAGGACTGGGTATGTTTTAAAAGAAATTCTAAGTGGTGCAGATTGACTAGAGTGTAAGGTACTTGAGATGGCATTGTCTTTGGATTTCAGACTGAAGGGGTTATGTTTTATCTGGTAGGTATTGAGAACCCTTGAAAGCAGTTGAGTCAAAGGATGAATATGATTGAAACCACATATAAAACTTAAAGATTAATATAGCTCTAGCATTCAGGATGAGAATCATGAGGCTGTTAGACCAAAAATAAAGACAGTAGTATCTAGGAAGTCAAAAAATAATCAAGGATGAACTGTCAAAGCTGAGAGAAATCTGAATGATTTGAGAGAACATTACTGGACTTAATATTTGAACATTCTGGGAAAGTAACTGAGTAGACTGGAAGCAGAATTTAAGGGATAAGAATGGTAAGGTAATTAAGTGAAGGCATTAGATGTAGATGGTTCTTTACAAGAGAGTCAAAAGAAGAGGAGAGAGAATTATTAAGCAGTGTTTTTTGGAGTTGGTGAGAGAGTTTTATTGTTGGAAAGTGGTCAGGATATCTCACTCATGGAAGACAGAAAGGATTAAAAGAGATGTGAAGATATAAAATTTTAGGTAAAGAAGCAGATTGGGAAGATTTAATCGTGACAGATTATTGATAAAACTGAAATAACAGGTAGAAACAGTGAATGCCTTCCTTTCTCATCTGTTAGCTTAATGACTTTTTCATATTACCTTAGTGAAATATTTTCTTGTCAGGGTGTTTATTTTTCCCATTTTTCTTATTGTAGAAATATATTGTGTTAATGTTAAGTATTTATATGTGTACTTAGATTTTATTCCTGTATAGCCTCTGTGGATTACTCTTTTATTCTTTGAAGTTCTTAATTTCTGAGCCAGAGTCTACTTATGTTTGGTTACAGAAGCTCATTAATATTTGAGCTTAAATACCCCACATCTTTTTCTTTTACTTTTTTATTCATCTCTTTACCAGTACATGAGTATCATTTGCACTTAGGACTTGAGAAACTATTCTAATTTTATCATCTCCTTTATGACACATCATTGGTTCTTCACTGGGAACTTTGTAAACTTTAGTGGACCTAAAATAGTTCATTTGAGATGCAAGAGTAGTTTACTAAAGAGGGAATATGGTAAAAATCTTAAGGAATTGTTGTTATACCATGCAAGTGTTTTTCTCCCCTTATGATTTGATAATATTGACACGTATAGGCAATTTTTAAGAACTTAGATAAAGCAAATGATGATATATACCAATGGAAAATGTTTGGAGGGCATTGTTCATATGCCCTCCATTTCTCATTTTCTACATTTAAAATTTCAAGATTGTTTTCTAAATCATTTACTCATTTCATTACTTCAGTAAACACTGATTGAACATCTGCTGCATGTCAGAATGATACCATGTACTATAGGGGCAAGTTTGCTTTCAACCTTCCTGTGTGTGTGTGTGTGTGTGTGTGTGTGTGTGTGTAGAGGGAGAGAGGGAAAAAGACTAAATTATGATTGTTAGTACAGTGTTTAACAAGTCCCAAATACAAAACTAATTCTGAGTAAATTATTTATTAAAACATTTCATGAAGTATGGTTTTTTAAGTAACTAAATGCAGAGTTTCAAAAAAATTTTTCCCAACAGGTGGGAAGGAGAAACCAAAAACAAATATAGAAGACTTACAAATCAAGAAGGTCAAGAAGAAAAAGAAAAAGAAACACAAAGAGAATGAAAAACGGAAGCGTCCAAAAATGTACAGCAAATCTATTCAAACCATCTGCTCAGGATTGTTATCTGATGTTGAGGATCAAGAAGCCAAAGGCATCCTAAGTGATAACATACAGGATTACAGTGGAAAGAACTTGGATACCAAGAACTATGATTCCAAAATTCCAGAGAAGAGTGAGTTTCCATTTGTCTCATTAAAGGAGCCACGGGTTCAGAATAACCTCAAAAGACTGGACATTTTGGAGTTCAAAAAGCTCATTCATATTGAGCACCAGCCCAATGGAGGTGCATCAGTTATCCATGCCTACAGTAATGAACTCTCCCACCTGTCTCCCATGGAGATGGAGAGATTTGCAGAAGAATTTGTGGGTCTAGTGTTCAGTGAAAATGAAAACGCTGCAGCTTTCTATGTAATGGGTATTGTTCATGGGGCAGCTACTTATTTACCTGACTTTCTAGACTACTTTTCATTTAATTTTCCCAATTCGCCTGTGAAAATGGAGATATTGGGAAAGAAGGATATAGAGACAACAACTATGTCCAATTTTCATGCTCAGGTAAGAGGTTTTAAGTTTTTGAAAACACTTTTAATTATGTGTTTTAGACAAGTTTCTGTTCTTTGCTTCTCATTTTGCTGTAGGTTTGAAATTAAAAGGTAAGAATACTTCGAAGCCTCTTTGGAATACTAAGAATAAATTAGTTTCTCGTTGTGAATACTGGAGTTTAAATTTCAATTTCTACTTGTTTTTCTTAAAGATAGTAAATGAAATAAAGATTCTGTTGTCCTTTTTTACAAGGATTTATCTTGGAAATTAAAATAATTTAGCCATGTATTTTCCAGTCCTTTCAACAGTTCTTTTATCTGAAAATCACCTAAAATTGTCATCTTACTTTATGTAATAATATCTTAAAAGCACATGTATCATATAATAGGTGCTGAATGAATGTTGTCTATTAAATATATTATGGCACAAAGGACTCATAAGTTAATTATGTGATTCTGTGAGAAAATTAGCATATCAGTGAGTGTATTGAGCTAATTTTCATTTCCTACCCTTCTCTCTGGTGTAGAATATACATTATTTTAGAAAGCAGATACTGAATCAAGTCTGCCTGCTCTTAGAAGTGAATGTGGGCTTATCTAATACATCAGTGCCATTATTAACCACTGTCAGTTCAGGAACTGCTTAGGCCATGAAATCGGCCAGTTTTCATATTAATTGGTGCTAAGGTTTCCAGTTTTCTAAGTAATAATTGACATTCTAGTTGGGAAGGAGGAAAAAAGTAAAGAAAATCTCAAAAGGACTGTAGAGATCATCCATCCCAATTGTTCTTAACTTAAAGATAAGCAAATAAACATAGATGTAGGAGTAACTTACTGTTTTTAGGTTGGCAGCAGTGCCAGGAGTAGAACAAAATCTCCTTCATCTTCATCCAGGACTCTTACTTCTTCTGAGTATATTCTTTTGAGATATGTTCAAGTTATAGTCTCTACCTTAAATGATAGTCTGAATGTCCAGTCATACCCACATATACCAAACTCCCACTCCCACACTATTTATGGTGTATATTCTGTAATATACTGCAGTCTGAAAGATACAGTAGTACTTGAAGTGGTAGTTTGTGGGGAGAGGTGGCGGGAATTACTCCCCAAAGAAACACATTTGAGAATTGGAATCTAAGTATTTTTAGAGATGAAATGTACCTTTAGAGCATGCACTATTAGCTCTGTCATTTTATAGAAGTCCAGAATGGTTAGTAATTTGTCTGATATTGCACCCAAGTTTAGTGGCAGAACTAGACTTGTGTCTAGTTATGTTGTCTACTACGTACTGAGTGCTGTCTGTGCCAAGAACTGCTCTGAGCACTTCATATGTAATAACTCATTTAATCATTACAATCTAATTTTAGCAATGGGCAAACAGATACAGTGAGAGAAGAAATAACTTCCCATATCCTACCATAGTAGATCATTTGATTGTCATTTATTATGTGGGTCCCTTTTGACTTCCAATTCCATTTGTTTCCACTTTATCACAAATTTTCTTGCTGCTGTACAAGCAGGTTTATTTCAGTAATCTTTTAAATGTCATAATACTTATATTTGCTTTCCAAATAACTTTCAAGGTTAGGAATAATTAATTTTTTATTAAATTATAAGAATTTTGATCTTAACTATAGGTAATAAGTATAACACAACAACTGTGCTTTTGTTATTAAATAAAATGAGGTTCTGGGACTCACTAATCATGCCATTGTGTGTTGCTTGATTGTGGGTCTGAAGTCCTTGAAGAGCTATCTACCCTGGTTGCCATCACCTATTCAGGGTTCTTGGGTAATACATATTGCACAGAGGAAACTATGGAGATGCATCTTCTTTGTTACAGCTCTGGCCCCTGTCTAAGTGATCTGTCAGTTGCAGAGACCACTTTTACCTCTTTAGCTTTACACTAAATGGCAGCAAGCTGCCTATGCAATGCCCATGTTCATTATCTCCAAGATGCTCCAGATCCCCTCATTCCTATACTATGGGGAAGAATAGTGAAAGCTGTCTTGAACTGCTCATTTCATATTTCCTCCACACTGGATTCTTACTTTGTTTTTTTAAGAGCTTAGGAGACCGAGGAAGTTATTTTCTGCTGACAAGCTTTGGGTTTGTCCTTACATTCTGGCCTTATGAAACTGAATGGGACCCTGGTAGAGAGGTAGAATAAAAATGAGCCTGCCTATTGTAGCTTAGTTTTATTTCCAGTTTCTTGAGTCTTCACAGTAAAAGCTCTGTCTCTTAAATAATATGTGATATCCCTCCCAGAAATGATTTTTTAACCACATGCACAATTTTTTTATTTGGGAAAATGTTTTATAAATTACAGGGATTGACTTACAAACATATATTTAGAGTTCAAACCAGTTTATAACTTGAGTCCTTTCTTGTCCTGAATGAGACAGTCTTTCTTCCAGATTTAATTTGTAGAAGTATTTTAAAGTCAATTTGGTGAGCTGTAAGTGAGTTAGTGTGGGTGACTGGATGAACTCTTACATGGGGTCGATGGAAAAGGAAGAGAGCTAGTCCATTTTATAATTTACCAGCTAGACACTGGACAACTGTTTCCTCACAAACAAAATGAAGAGAATGGTAATAGTACTCAAGTCCTCTGGTTGTTGTTAAAGATGCTTTGTAGAACGTAACAGGTTGTGCAAAGAGAATTGTTATACTGACAGTGCAATATTACAACAGCTCTCCATTTTGTTGGATAGGCGATGACTGGCTTCTGAGTGAGGACTGTTAGGAGCGTGTGTGTTCACTGAGGGTAGGGAGTTCTGGGAATGCTGAAGATAGAAAATGACCATAGATACTTTATAGATGGAGAAGGAGTTGACTAATTGTGGTATAAACACACAACTGAATATTATTCAACCATACAAAGAATGAGATACTAATACATGCTACAGTGTGGATGAACCTTGAAAATGTTATGCTTAGTGGAAGAAGCCAGTCACAAAAGGTCACATATCACATGATTCCATTTATATGAAATAGCCAGATAAGGTAAATCCATAGGGACAGAAAGCAGATTGGTGGTTGTTAGGGGCTGGGAGAAGTAGGAAATGAGGAGTAACTGTTAATGACTGAGTTTTCTTTCCTTTCTTTTTTTATTTTTTTATAGAAATGATTGACATATAACATATTAGTTTTAGGTGTACATTAGTAGTGATTCAATATATGTATATGTTACAAAATGATTACCACAATAAATTTAGTTGACCTCTGTTATGACATAGTTGCAAATTTTTTTCCTGTTATTAGAACTTTTAAGTTCTATGTTCTTAGCAGCTTTCAAATACACAATATGTAACTGTAGTCACTATGTTGAACATTACATCCCCCTGACTTACAAAAAACTTTTGGAAGTTTGTACCTTGTGACCACATTCACTCATTCCCTTTACCCCACCCCCGACAACCACCAATCTGTTCTCTGTATTTATGAGTTCAGCTTTTAAAATACATAATTTATTTGTAAATATTCCACATAAAATATTACAATAGCTTTCCATTTCCAACAGATCATACAGTATTTGTCTTTTTCTGTCTGACTTATCTCACTACATAATGCCCTCAAGGTCCATCCATGTTGTCTCAAATGACAGGATTTCCTTTTTTGCGGCAGAATGATAATCCATTATATCTATATCTATATCCATTCATCCATCAGTAGACACTTAGGTTGTTTCTGTTTGTATGTTTTCACTATTGTAAATAATGCTGCAATAAACATGGCATGAATATATCTTTTCAAGTTAGTGATTTCATTTCCTTCGGATAAATACCCACAAGTAGAATTACTGGATCATACGATAGTCCGATTTTTAACATAATTTTTTTAAACTGATTTTTTAAATGAACTTTTTATTGCAGTATATACACAGAATGTACACATTATAAATATATAGCTTGATGAATCTATATAAAGTAAACACACCCATGATTTTAAAAAGCAGAATATTACTAGTAGCCATACCCCTACCCAAAGCCCTCATTATCATTGACTATTCTGCCCCACACCAAACACACACACAAACACTCAAGTAACCACTCTCTAGACTTCAAACACCACAGGTAAATTTTGCATGTTTTTGAACTTTCACATAATAAAATCAAATAGTATATATGTTGTCATGTGTGGCTTTTTTCCTTCAGCATTATGTTTATGAGCAATATTATTCATCTTTTGTGTAGCAGCAACAACTTTTTTCTTCATTGCTGTGTTCTAGTCTAAGTATATACCACAATTCATTTATCCTGTTTTCTGTGGGTGGATATTTGAGTTGCTTCCAGTTTGGATCTGTTAACATCAAGGGTGCTATAAATATTTTTGCACATAAGATTGGAATTTTTTGGAGGATCAAAAGGTAGGCAAATGTTTAGCTTTATTAGATATTTACATTCTCACCAGCAGTGTTCCACATCCTTGGCCACACTTAGTGTTGTGTACCTTTTTCATTTTAGCCATTCTGATGGCTATATAGTAGCATCTCATGGTTTTAATTTGCATTTCCCTGATGAGTAAGGAGGTCAAGTATCTTTTAATGTAATTGTTGTCCAACTAAATATCTTCTTTTGTAAAAGTACTTGGTCTACTCATTTGCCCATTTTGCTATTGGTTTTTTTTCTAATTGATTTGTTGGAGTTCTTTATATATTGTGGATAAGATTCTTGTCAGCTATGTACATTACAAGTACTTCCTCTCACTCAGTGACTTGCCTTTTCACTCTTAAGAGTGTCTTTTGATGACTTTAGTTCTTTAGTATAATCTGATTAATAAGGTTTTCCCCCCACTTATGATTAGTATGTTTTGTGTTCAGTTCAAGAAATCTGTGCCTACCCCTTAATCATTATGTAGTTTCTGAAGTTTCTTCTGGAAACTTTTATTATTTTACCTTTATCATTTAAATCTACAGTTCTTCTGTAACTGACTTGTACATGGTATGAGGGGAAGATCAAGGTTCATATTTTTCCATATAGGTACAGGTATACCTCAGTGATACTCTAGGTT